GTTTAATGAAAGAGATTTCAGATGGCCGGAGAGTTCACTTGTGGAACTACCTTTGGATTCCGTAGGGCACAGTAGCTGTCTTCCGGCCTATCGTTTTGCACAAGTACTGAGTGAACTCCAATTTTCCATAGGTATTATTCAGACTGCCAAATAGTTTAACCATTCCTCACTAGGAAATTGAAAACAAAGGCATCCCGAGAAAATGCAGTTTATAGAAAAAATCTTATCCTGCTCCCCCCCCCCCCCTTGTATCCCTCACCTACCCTAGGCGACGATGTCTAGGTTGTCTGGTATTTGCCTTAACAGATCTTTCCCTCCCTCTATTTGAATTGTCTTCATGGCCTGAAATAAAATTAAATGAGAACTACTGCATGTGAACAGTTATCAATGATCACAGGTCAGTTTGCCGAGAAGCTTATTACTCAACAGCTCGTTTTAAAGAAATAGAGCTAATAGTTAAGGAAGCACAGTTGCTGAGAATCACGTTCACCCACATAGATTGTTCAGACATGAGCCAAAGGACCGAAGAAAAATCAAATGGTGATTTCCCCATCACTCCTCACCTCTGTGTCCACCCTCTGATCTGCCTTTCTTCAGATTTAGTTCCTGTTATAAAAACAATATTCTTCTTCTTTTTCATTTCTTTTTCTTTTTTTCTTTTCTTTTTTTTTTTTTTTTTTTTTTTACCTTGTCCTACTTTCTTAACCCTAGGGAGGATTTTAAGAAGGTTTCAAAGCTAAGCATCCCCAATTGCTTCAGGCTGTCTTCAGTTGTAAGTCAGAATATAAAGCAATTACCCGTAGGGTAGGATGTGTTCATGGCCAATGGGAGAATGTTCGATATATCAGCGGGTAACCGAAAATATTCTCTTCTGCGTGAACATCTGGTTCAGATTCTTAACCATTTCTAGTGAGGTTTCATGGGTCTCTCTGTCTCACTTCTGCTGTGCTCTGCCTTCTTTTCTAGGAGGAGGTGTGTACCCATAAAGCAAAAGAATAGGGCTTAACTTGATCCCCATGCCCTGTTGTTGATGGATATCCCCTTATCCTATCTGAAGACCTGCTAGCTAGAAATCCTGAAAACTATGCCGGTTGCTTTTGTATCACAGCTTTATAGCCCAAAAGAGGGAAGAAAAAACATACTCTGGTATCTTTTCCAGTTAATCATCAATTCAAAGAACCTTGAGAAACTTCCATGAGCTCTCCGTAGACTCACTGCCTGCAGTAATTTGGACACTGCCTCTATTCCCGACTTTTAAGACAACTCCACGACATCCCTTTTGAGTCAAGAAGGGTGTTTACAAAGTTCCCACCCTGACCGAAGATAGGAAGAAAAATCTTCCCTTGGCTTCTTCCATATGAGTGCTTCACCGAAGGGAAAGCACAGCACAGGGAATCATGCTCAGACACATCCCCATTCTGCAGCCACACACTAGCGTGCAAAGGTGATCGTGTACTATGTGATCAAGCATTTTACCCACGGTGTAATCAGAAGTGCCTGGGCTGTAGAGTCAGACCAACCTGGGTTCAGATATCAGAGCTGCCTCATTACTGTTGGGGTGTCAGGAGGCTACTAGGTTATACACCTCTTTTCCCCATCTGAGCTATTTGAGAAAATTAAGGAAACACAGGAACTGGACCAAAGGCAATAAAAATGCCAGCCTCATTACTGATAAAGCTGTTTGGAAGATCTGGCTCTAGATCAGCTGCCAAGTGGGCTTGTTAATTCATCACCCCACTAGGGAGGAGAGTCGACAGAGAGGAGCTGGAATGCAAGGTCATGCTCAGAAGAGGCTGCTCTTGTTAAAACCAGACTATGGATGGGCAGGGACTATGGGTGCTTTCTTGAGGCAGCTTGGATGTAACAGAACAAGGAGACAAGGGCAAGGGGGTGACTCTGATCTCTTGTTCCAAATTCACCAGCGAGGACAACACGTAACATTGTGGAGAGGAGCCAGGAGCATAGGGCTCCCTGAGGGGAAGGGATAAGGTTTATCATCTCTTAGAAAATACCATCACATACCTGTAAATTGCTTAAAATTTCGGAGCTTCAGTTTCCTTGTCTATAAAACTGGAATAATATACCAACCTGGCACACTTGCAACGTTAAATTAAAACATACATATAAACGTGTGTGTGTGTGTGTGTGTGTGAGTGTGAGTGTGTTAACTGCCACTAAGGACTGCGAACTTCCTTTCAAGTCTACTTCTCCCTTTCTCCCTAGACACTTAGATCAGAGGTGTCTCTAGGCAAAGGCGCGTTATGTTGTCTTCCCTAGGGTGAGAGATAGTTAAAAAGGAGAAGAAGAGGGAAGTGCATATCAAAGTGACTAAAGATTATTTTAAAAATCTACTCTGCACGTTACTACTGCCCAAATCTTCGATATCACTTACCTTTTGAAGTGCGTCAACGTCCAAAGTAGGAGTTGCTGCTTTTCAGACAAGTGTGCGCATCTTCGCGGACCTTTCAACAGACCTGCAGCGTCTAGGGGTGCAACACAGGTCTGTGTTAGAGTGCATTTCCAAGGCGGAGAGGCTCTCGTCCATCGGGGCTCCAATCTAACTGCCTTTTCAACACTACTTCGTGAGACGAGCAGAGACTGTCTGGTTCTCCGGGACATGGCATGCTTGTTCCTATCTCATTTATTTTATTCTGCTTTTTCTGAAGCTTAATCTTTGACATCCAGAGGCTGGAAAACATCAGTGAATGGGCTGCCTTTAAAGAAGAGAAGGAGAGACATATGTAATACCCGGCCTGGAGCTGTGTGCACACAGTGGAGAGCAACGAGGCCTCTGTTCTGATCCCTCGCAGACTTTTTGAGGGGTCCGAAGAGCAGCCTGTCCTCATTCATCTCCTGATTTTACCTGGGGATGTGTGATGTTGCTTAACATCCTCAGCAGGCTACTATGCAGATTAAGGATTAATTATATAAGTTGATTTATATTTGCAGAGCTGCTATCACAGTCCTGCCCCAGTTTAGTGATTTTCTCCTTGAGATATATGTTCAGTGAACTGTTGTCGCTCCTCAAACCTGCACTGCCTGCTTGCTCACCGTAGTGCATTTCAGGGGCATACTGGCCAGCGGGGTCTCATGCTTGTCCACCTTTGAGGTGCCTTTTTCACTCACAGCTCATATCTACCTGGTGACCAAACTCTGATGAGTCCATATCAGGAAAAGAAATCATGCACTCTGACTCCATCCAACTGCCGCTGCCCAAGCACCAGGCCTCATCATCTCTTTCAGGTCAGATGAGCTCCAATCTCTCATCCTTCTGGTCTACCCTCCCTCCAGGGCGCTTTCAGCTCTATTACTCTATAATACAAATCAAGCCTCTTCTGCTCAAACCTTCCTGCTCCCCCCACCCAAATGATCAAAATATGGTAGCACAGCATGCAGCAGCTTTGCAGTTCTGGATGGTGTTTCCAGCCTCATGTCCCGGCCCTCACACCCCCTGCTACAATCCAGTCCCCTGGAGCATTCATCGGCCTCTGACCCAGGTGCACTTCTGCAAAGCAGTGCCATTAGGACTAGGACTCCTTTGCCAAAAACATCTTTAGTGCTTTTCATCCCTCCTGAAATCCTGGGGAGGTCTTGGGGACCCAACTCACACCTCATGTCCTCAGGAAGTTTCCTTCTGTGTCCTCATCTCAGAGTAGAGTATTCAGTTAAATGTCTGCTTACTGTGAATTCCTGCTAGGGTGTTAGTTCCCAAAGCATGTTTAGATTTTCTCAGGAACCGAAAATAGAATGGATCCTCAGTAAACTTCTGTTTTTAATTATAACAGACCTTGATCTTTTCTCTCATTCAAACTGTTTCAAGACATTTACCACTTCTGTACCTGTTCATCCAGATTTCAATCTTGCCTTTTTTTTTTTTATTATTTTCAAAGAAAAACATCACTAGCTGGAATCTTGGGAGTTTATTGTCAATTATAGACTTGGGGTAAATAGTAATTGGCCAGAACTTTCTTTCATATTGTTAAATCTTTCCATATTTCTGAGGGTTTAAAGCATTTGTAAATCATCTTAGGAGAAGTTAACTTTGGAGCACATGTTTGATCTGGACTTTCTGCAACAACAGATAAATGTTTCATGCCTCAGAAACAGCCAGTGAGGAAAGAAATCCATTGACTACTCTCCTCTATCTGCTTCTGAAACTACTGGCATCTGCAGATATGGAAACTGGAAATTGTAGAAAGCATCTCTATAGCTCAGTGGTTGTAGGAAATGATAACAAAGATATCTGGAGACCAGAAGGTTTATCAGCCACAAACAAGTTTTAGAAGCGATTTAGTCTAATCTTCATCACTAATATTTTAAATGAGCAATAAAGGTGTTTTTTTCCATTTATTCATAATTCATTTAATATTAATGAAGGCCTCACACAGGTACATTGCATCAGAAAATGGAATTGTTACCTGAGAAATCATATCAGAAATAAAGTCCAGTAAGTATAAAAGTAGGAACTGTTATGAAGGAAAAATAGTAGATAAATGTACGAAATATGCAAAAGTCCTGCACTGTGAACTACAGCAAAACGTATCTTTAATTTATCTCATCCACTGTTTTTGATGATGCCAGTGACTTAGCACTTAGCACAGTGAGAACAAGGAAAACGAGCAGGGATTTCTTTTGGATGAGAAAGCACAAACACCCATTCATAACACCATCCATAAGCATTTTTTTTTTAATCAACATTGTCATTGTCACATCCTGCTTGATCTTCCTACTTTGGGTTAATATGGGAGCCAATTACAGCTTCATCTGTGTAGAATTAACTTTATGGAGCACACACCGGGGATTTGTCTATCTTCACTATTTAGATATATGTCATAAAAATATGCATGGAATAGAGTACAGGCATTGCAGATGGCAGACTTTCAGATTTATTGTAAAATCATTTAAAATTGGTTATGCTCTTGCCAGAAGTTAATTAATTTTTTTCTCTTCTTTTCTGGGGCTGGGGGGGGGGTTTGGGGGGGGGCTCTGTGTCTCACTAGGTGGCAGTGTGCGATTATATCTGGGAAAACCATGGCGTCAAGTCCAGAATCTCCAGCTGTGACCTCCAACAGCAAAATAAAATTTCTGTGTCTGCGCTTGGTCCAGGAGATGTTACTTCTCATGTGTCTATATGTACCATTTATCCCAGTGGGTTCCAAGAGCTATACCGCCATTTTCTCCGACTCCCCAGTGGTGCCATTGTTGAGGTATGTGCCTCTGAACATAATTTATTTTTTTATTATTATTTTTTGAACATATTCTAATGCAAGTGCTGTGTATGTTGTAGTGCATGAGTGTATATGTGTGTGTGTTTATACTTGATTTCAAAGGCTTCAAAATGACTTTGTAAGCATATTGTATAATTAATGTCTCTAATACCATAATAGACTTGAAGATACATTTGAGTGTTTTCCTAAAGAAATGTATGTGCTGCCGAAGTGAGCACTCCTAAAGAAATAAAGGTGTTATGTAAGAAGTAAATTGTTTCTGCAGATAGCTTTGTGGCAGGGAGACAGGAAACAAATCAAGTGAAATGATTCAGGATTCAGCCTATGAGAACTTTAACTCAGTTAACATTTGTAAACATCAGCAGATTGATGAAGAATTCTCTAAATCCACGGACACACTTCGATGCCTCAGGAAAGTTTGCAGTCCCTTGCTCAAATGATCTCACACAAAATGAACAAGATGGTAGCATTTAATACTTTTTCCATAAGAAAAATCTTTTTTTAAAAAAGATTTTATTTATTTATCCATGAGAGACACACTGAGAGAGAGAGAGGAAGAGACACAGGCTGAGGGAGAAGCAGGCTCCATGCCGGGAGCCTGACATGGGACTTGATCCTGGGTCTCCAGGATCAGGCCCTGGGCTGAAGGCCGAGCTAAACCGCTGAGCCACCTGGGCTGCCCTCCATAAGAAAAATCTTAAAAAATAAAGTCCCCATCCTTAAATCTTTAAAAATGTTAAAGGGGTGCTTAGCAAAGATCTTAGGGCCATGCTTTCTCTTAAAAGGCCAGAGTCTTTAGGTGAGCTGAGTTTAGTTTAAAATAGGGATCTCTCATGTTGCACCATATTCTTCAAACCCAAATATCATGGCCCGTTGAAACCTGAGGCTCAGTCCTATTTGCCTCAGTGTTGTTGAATTCTAAAGTCTGAACGAATGTTATTTCCCATTAGATGGTAGAAATAAAGGGTGGAGGAGGAGGAAAATCTAGATATATTTCATGACTGCTTCCCTGGTGATGTTGGCATGACCACATCACAGGGGCACAATATTAATTTGTAAGAATTTGCAGGATGGAAAGTCCACCCTTTCCGTATGGACTTTTGCCATTGTGTTTTTTGCTAGAAAGTTGATGAAAGTCTGTCCTCATAAATGAGGACATAACCTGTCCTATTCCTTTGAATAGAACCTTGAGGAAATTTCCAATGGCTTAGAGATCAGTGTTGCGGATAGGGAGCTTCTCCTCTCTACCATCCCTACCCAGACAGCATTTGGGTACTTGAGCGACTCACAGAGACGCTCTCCTGGGAAAATCCCAGATGTGCCAGACAGATTCTCCAGTACTTCACCTCCGGGATCCCTTATTGAGTGGTGAAATGATGGAATTGTGTATATTGCAGCAGAGCAACAGATGGAGGAGATTCTGATTGTATCTGTTGGAATTCCTTGAGAATTTGGGTCAAGGGTTGCTATAAGTACTTTGGCGTATGCTCCCTTTTTGGACTTCAGAGACATTTGCTTTAGAAATCTCCAGAGAAAAACTGTCACGGCTGAATTGTTGTTGTTGTTTTTGTTTGTTTGTTTTTCGTTTTTTTTTTGTTGTTGTTGTTTTTATTTGCACAGGCACCTGTGCTTAATTATGTGCATATACCATGCACTGAAAGACCTGAAGAAGCCAGAACACCAGGGGTGTCTCTGCTTCTGCTACAAAACATCTTGTGGCAGCTTGCCAGCCTTGAGACCTGAGTGGGAAGCCCTGACATGAGGTGGCCTGTTCCCAGGCACAGAGCAATCCTCAGGGCCCTCTGATTCACTCACCTCTGCGTTTGCCCCAGAACCTTGCCTTACTCCCTTCCCACTCCTCTCTGCCGACATTCTTATCTGTAAAACTGGGTTATGAAGACTTAGACTGCCTGCCTTATAGAGATTTGGGGCAGATTAATGGGATCATGTTGGCAAAGTACTTTTAGCTCTTTTTATAAAAGAAGGTGCAATAAAGATGACAAAGCATTATGGATCATGCAACGTTAAATTCATTCAACTCGCACACCTTTTATTTTTTTTTCTCCCCAGGTACTAATAGTAACATTAGACTAAAAAACAAAACCACTCTGGGAGTCTTGAATGGTGAGGGAATTGAGCTCAAGGGGCCATCTGACTCTCTGCCTGTGTTTTCACCACTACTGCATTATGTGGTGGTAATGATATGGTGATGGAAGTACACGTCAGCACTTCTGAAACTGTGTCCAACAGAGATTCTAGCAAATACTAAACCAGCTTTCCCTTTTTTTGCAGATCCCAGCAAATGTTTACATGAGGTCCTCCTTTCATGTGGGACTGCATCTAGACACTACCCGCTTATTGCTTCATGTTTTACATTCCCTGCTTTTTGGTCCATGAAATCTACTGAGAGCCATTTCAAACAGACTTATTCCCTTACACCATCTCTACCACTTATCACCAATACCAGATTTTATTTAGCCCCCCGAAACATATTACTAGCATGAAATTTAGTCTCCTTAAGGGCAGGAACTGTAAAATAGTACAAATTCTAGAACAACTTGAAGATTAGACAAATTTTCTTTCTAGCTACTCACAGTCATCCTGGTCTCCTTTCTCTCTCTCTCCTGACCCTTACCAGGGACTTCCACATGTATTATTGGCCTTTAGAGCTATAAAACCTGAACCTGGGGGGTGTTCGAGACTGGTCTTTTGTAACTTCAGTGAGAAATGAAGTTAGTGCATTTCTTCCCCAAAGATGTATTCATTGAAAAGAAATTTCAAATATCAACACTGGGGTAGATTATGTTTTTTTGGATTAATGAAAATTCTATTTGATTTTTTAAATTGTGGTTTATAAGTAGTTACCTACGTGGAAGTTAACTTCTACCCTGGAGCTCCCTATGGCTGTGCTAAGTGCATTATTGATGCTCTAGGAAATCTATTAAATTGCATTGACTTTATGGATGCCAACTTGTTCTACATGGTAATTCGGCACCATGACATCCTTTCGATTACGATGGAGATTTCTTTCCAATTAATATTGTGCCACCGTTAAGTGATTTCATGCCAACATGGCCAGGGAAGCAGACATGGAATGTATCACATTATGTGAATTGAGGGAACTTATACTTTGGATATTACTTAGAACACTCACTTAAAGGTACCTGTGAGAATCGAGCCACAGTTTGAGTGGATAGTCTGACAGGAGAAGAAACAGGTAATTGTGTCTGAGCCTAACTTATTTACATAATAGCCATGGCAAAAAAAATAAATAAATAAAAATGGATGAAGTTTTGCTTCAACCTTATAACCTGAACACTATTCTCAAAGGTTTTATGGTGTTTTTTAAATAGGATATTCAGTTATCTAAATTCTTTTTGCATTTAATACAGCTCTCACCCGTCACAAGAGTGATCTTGAAGCCTCTCTTTAACCTGATATGAAATATAGGTCATATATTAACCTTTTTTTTTTTTTGGTCTTGATAAAGCCCTAGCAATGTGGGTTTGAACAAATTATCTTCAAGATTTTATTTCAATGGAAAGCCATGTTTTTGAACAGAATGAGTTCTATTCTAAAGAGGTCAGATTTCATGAGTCTGAAATAGAAGTTATATTACAAAGGATCTTTCCTATGGATTTGTGTTCATCATTTTCTTTTTCCATCCAGGCCTGTCACCCTTAATGACATGGCTCTTACTGTATCCTACATATTTTGCTTTAACAAGTAAGATCCCCTCTGCACTTGTGGAGGTCATCATTGGTCTGTCTTGGCGGTGAGCACTTCTCTGTAATTCTGTTTTATATTAGCCCCTCCGAGCTCCGTGATTCCATAGACTTTTGGAGAGCAGTGCCTCATCTCTGCTCCACAGGTAGGATATCTTGCGTGCGTGTGTGTGTGTGTGTGTGTGTGTGTGTGTATTTGAACAGAGTTACTTTAAAGTTTTAGTGCTACAAAACCTAGAAACCCAGGCAAGACTAGAGCAGATTCATCAAGTCACAAATAAGCTTCCCGATCCCAGGGTATCCATCGCAATTAAGAAAGTCCTTGGAGCATTGGTTGGGGTGGAATGGGAAAAGGGTTTTTTGTCATTAGAGGCAGTGTCGCCTGGTGGTCTGAGCGGAGATGTGGGAGTCAGGAACTCAGCGATCTCAGAGGCTCTGTGAGACCCAGTTGAGCAGCTCCAGGCAAGTGTCTGGGCCTCAGGAGGACAGGCTCACCTACTTTGAATCTCTCCTCTGAAGAGCTCCTTACCCAGGGCCAGAAGATACACAGCAGGAAGCCTGATTCCTCGTCTGCAAAATGAGAATATTAATACTTGCCTAAATAACATATTAACCAATTAGTGATTGTTAAGTGCTCTGCTGATAGAAAGCAGCAGGAGAAGAAAAGCAAAAAATAAAAATGGGAACACAATTTTGTTATTAGATGGGTTTTACTCAGCTCTGGGCTTTTCTTCCACTCACTGAATTTAATGACCATATATATAGTGCAAAGAGCAGGTCTTGAGAGACTCAGCCTAACCTTTATTGGGCTCAGTGAGAAGACAGCAGATGAAGCTGACTGTCCCCTGCAAATCCACAGATGCTTGGAATAAGCAGGATGGGGGAAACCACATTTGGTTCATGAATCAGTGAGTTGCAGGGGAACATCATACAAATAACTGAGACTTCAATTTTAACTCTTCTATTTTAGTACATTTCAGGAAAAACTACTGAATTTCAGAATCCCCCCCCATTCACCTACTACAGTGACCAATCGTCAGTATAGTGTGTGAGAGAGAAATGTGCACACTAATGTGGCAGAGAAATCAATAGGAAAATATAGGAAATTGGGGCCCCTGAAATGTATTCATTAAACATATAAATTGTTGATGATAGCTTTCATTTTCTGGGATGAGAGGGATTTCTACCATCCAAGTTTTTCTTTTGTTGAAAACCATTACATATGGGAAGGAAAGAACATTTGTTTATTTATTT